TGATTGTATTTTTCTGTAATGTTTTATGAGTTTACGGTCAGGTTTACGGCCAGGTGGGTGTTTACGGCCGTAAATAGGTTTACGGCAGATGTTTCTCCTGTATATATAGGGGTGAGGGGTGTGAGGAACAGAGTGTGAATAGAAGAATAGAGAACGAGAGAAGAGAGAGAAAGTGAATCTTGTGTAAGGAACTTCAATCATATCATCAATACATTCAAGATTCAAGTTATTCTTCTCCTCCTTCTCTTCTATTTTGATCTGGCATCATCCGTTTGATTGGGATTCCGCACCATCAAATGGATCTGATTGATACACAAGCAGATTGGGGACTTACACTTTAACTCCATCCAGCCTTGGATTGTGGTACTCATGAGAATGCTTTGCAAATTCTTCAACCAACTCCTTGACTTCCCCCATATTTTTCTTAGTTAGTGGTCCTTGAGAATCAAGGAGTTGCCTTGTCATGACATTAACATCATCATAAAATATTGAGACTTCTTGTTGTATGTTAAGGTCATTTTGAGGACAATTTCTTAATAATCCTTTGTAGCGCTCCCATGCCTCATAAAGTGACTCCCCCGGTTTTTGCTCAAAGTTGGCTATTACCTTTTTGAGTTTAGATATCTTTGATGGTGGGCAAAATTGTTCTAGAAACTGCTCGCGCATTTTGGCCCAAGTAGTGATTGCACCACGTGGAAGTGCCTTCAGGCAGTCTTTTGCAGCTCCTTTAAAAGTCACTGGTAGCATCCATAGCAAGACTATCTCTCTAGGAACATTTGGGACATTGAAATAATCCGCTATATCATTAACTTCATCCAAATGCTTGTAAGCATCCTCATGATCCTTTCCAGAAAATGGTACATCCTTGAGTGCAGTGAGGATGTGTCCTTTCAACTCGAATGTGGCAGTTGCAGGAATTGCAGGTTGTACTAGGCCATGACCATCATCATCTCTAATTCGCTTCTTGTAAGCTCCCATGGATATATCCGCAATGTTGGCCATCTCATTTTCTGGTTCGTCTTCGGGTTCACTTCTATGTAATTCGAATTCTGGGTCGGATTCGTACTCGGATTCTTGTGGGTTAGATTTTTGATCAAAGCTTTCAACCTTTGATGATGTACTAGATTCTCCCACTTTCTTTCCTGACTTTTTCCAAAGACTGATTTGAGATCTTTAAAAGGTGACTTCTTTGGTGGTTGGTCTTCTTTCACGTTTTTACCTGTCTTCTTGTGAAGGGCCGACTCTGGATCTTCCAACGGTGACACCAAAGGTGTGCTAGAGCCTATGGTCATGAACTACTGCAAAATAAACACAAATAAAAACGTAAAACTGAACGAAAACCAAAAAAACGAAGAAAAAGAAAAATAATTGGATTCACGTCGTGAGCCTATAAAGGTCATGTCGTGAGTTCAGTTCTGAACAAAAAATACTAATCTGAAAAAAAAATAACTTTTTGCAGGTTTTACCCTACAAAAAGGATCGATTAACCTAAAGCAAATAAATCAACAATTAAATAAACCGTTCCCCGGCAATGGCGCCAAATTCATGCAGATTAATGGTCATTAACTACTCAGAATAAGACATTAAAGCAATCTAACATCAAGTCAAACATGCTAGGTATACCAATCAAACACAAGACATAACCAACAAGCAAAGTCTAAACTAATATATTAAAACCATGAGTTCGAGCTTCATCTAGCTAACAGAAGCCGCTAGATTTAGCTGGATATTCTAACAAATAAGCTAACACAAGTCATATTTAAAAGCATATTGAAAAGTACCAAACTAAAAAGTGAATTATGACTTCTTGTTATTCCTTGGTGTTAAGAACAATTCCCAGGCCTTTGGACTCTGTAATTTTCGACTTCTGGAACTTCTCTAAGCCAGCTAACCTCCTCAAAGTCGTAGGGATCAAGGATATATATAGTTTGTGGATTTTGCCTGATTCATGTCGTGAGCCTTTAAGGTTCACCTCGTGAATCCAGTAGATATCCGTATTCAACACGGATTCCACATGCACAATGTTTATCTTCTAGAAGGCCTAACTCACGCCGTGAATCTTCTAACACTCACCTCATGAGTACCTATTTTTCTAAATTTCTTATCGTTCAAGCCTTTAACCTCCAAAGTTCCATTCTTTAACGCTTTTAGTCCCTTTTCTTCAAAATGCCTTCTTTTTGGCTGCAACATATAATTTGAACTTATAAGTATCATTATTCCATGCAAATAACCAAAATATTAATTAAATTGTACTTAAATATTGCCTAAAAACATGTATAAATATGGCAATATCAAACGTCAACCCTGATCAACTGGAATAGAGGTGAGACCACCAGGAGAGGAGCTCGTTTGAGCATCTGAAGCTGGGATGGAGTCTCTGGAGAGGATGACAGGGGGGATACTAGGATCGTCTACGTTGTCGTCAACTCTTTGATGCGAAAGGGCATCAAACATGTTGGTCGACACATTCTTCTTCCTCGGATCACGAACGATAGGCTTGTAGACTTGAGCGATCTTTAAAGCGGGTTTTTTGCATTTATGGTTGCCAACTTGAACCTTCTTTTTAGGGAAATGAGAAGCTCTAGTTCTCCTTTTAACCGTGTGACAACCTTCATGGTCAACTGCTTTCGGAATAGGCATGGTCGTCTTTTGGATGGGAGTGCTAGCTGTGTGTTCAGGGCCGGAGTTGCTAGTAACACAAGCCGGACAAGTAGCATGATCATGACCAAATTTTTTGCAATGGGCGCATCTCTTGGGGAGCCAATAATACTCCACTCTTAGGGTAGAGGAAGTAGCACCTTTACCGTGAAAGCTTTGATTTTTATATCTTTAGCCCAAGAATCATTCACCGACATCTCAATGAGAATACGAGCATAAATCGCTCGACTCGTAGCCCACTCACACATGGTGGAGGTGTAAGAGTCAACCTCTAAAGGCTTTCCAAGTTTGCTAGCAATAAGACTTAGTCCATCTTTATTAAATAGTTGAAGGGGGATGCCAAATATATTAACCCAAACGGGAACCCGGTCATGCATTGGTTTTTCAAAAAAACGTCTGGATCCCATTTGCGGAGAAATAGCGGAATACCTTTGATCTTCCAAATGCCCTTTTGAAGTACATAGTTCATACCCACATCATTGTTAAATTTAAAAAATAACACATCATCGTCATTAATAAAGACGTCGCAAAGCCCATGTTCCTGCCATAATTCTAGAGATCGATCCTTTACAAAAGGAAAAACTAGTCTATCTCCCACAAAATAACCATATAAAGTTCGTTCAAAAGGCCCGTTTCCATGATTGCCGACGGAATAAGAATATGGCCGTCTTCTAAGGTTTCAAGATTATGGATGAAATCAAGAGATAAAGGTTTAGAAAATTGAACCTCATCACTATTTAATTTTCCAGCAGAAGCGAGCACATCAAATGAAAAAGAAGTATGATCATTTATTGATTAAGCAATGGGTCGTGGACGTGTGTGAATAAAATCTAAGGCAGGGGAATCAATAGGTGTTGGGCCTATGCTTGATGGGCTTCCATTTACGATATTTACATAACTCAAATTAGGGAGGAGATGAGTACCATGTGAGGTGATGGGCTCGAAGTGAAGAGGATTTGGGCTAGAGACATTGTGGATCGGGTGAATAAAAGGATGAGGAGGGCACACGCGCTGGAGATGAGAGTTAGGGGAGGGAGTAGAAGCATTTAAAGCTTAGACCCCACCAATTCCATCCTCATAAATGCACATGGGGGGATTAGAAGAGGCAGCCGGCGATTTTCTCAATTCCAAGCCAATTTTTAGGGAAGACTCCAAGCAAGAGTAAGAAGCTGAGGGCCCCACAAGAGGAGAACAATTAATGTGAATCTGGGGAACATCATAATCATCCGACGTTGCAGCCTTTTCCTTACCCAAATTTGAGGAACCCAAAGTATTGACACCAAACCCTAGAGGACTTTGGCTTTCCTCAAATGTTTGATTCTTTTTAGAGCAAAAAACCGTACAAGGGTCGAAGTCAGACGATTTTTGAAGAGCAGCAGCCGATTTTTTTAGGGGTTCCGACGAGACTAACAGAGAAGAGACGCCGAAGAGAAGACCGGAAGGTGCAATGGTAACGACCGGAGGTTGTAAATCAGCGACACAGGTAACGACCGACGAGGCAGCCACAGACGACAAACCATCAATAATTTTATGCTCATAATCTTAGGGTTTAGGGTTTAGGGTTTAGGGTTTATTTTTGGAAAAATGGGAAAACCCTTGGCAAATATTATTAATAAAAGAAATTACAAAGAAAGAGGGCAAAAGCCCAAGAAAAATAAAGACAGGACAGATCAAAGGGACATGCACCAAAGCAAAGACAAACTAAAAAAACAAAAGCAAAGAACTAACTAAACAAAGACCTAAAAAAACGTCAACCCTGATCAACTGGAATAGAGGTGAGACGACCAGGAGAGGAGCTCGTTTCACCATCTGAAGCTAGGATGGAGTCTCTGGAGAGGATGACAGGGGGATACTAGGATCGTCTACATTTTCGTCAACTCTTTGATGTGAAAGGGCATCGAAGATTTTGGTCGACACATTCTTCTTCCTCGGATCACGAACGATAGGCTTGTAGACTTGAGCGATCTTTAAAGCGAGCCCTTTGCATTTATGGTTGTCAACTTGAACCTTCTTTTTAGGGAAATGAGAAGCTCTAGTTCTCCTTTTAACCGTGTGAAAACATTCAATGTCAACTTCTTTCGGAATAGGCATGGTCGTCTTTTGGATGGGAGTGTTAGCCGTGTGATCGGGGCCGGAGTTGCTAGTCACACAAGCCGGACAATTAGCATGATCATGACCAAAAATTTTGCAATGGGTGCATCTCTTGGGGAGCCAAGAATACTCCACTCTTTGGGTAGAGCAAGTAGCACCTTTAGCCGTGAAAGCTTTGATTTTTATATCTTTAGCCAAATAATCATTCACTGACATCTCAATGAGAATACGAGCATAAATCGCTCGACCCGTAGCCCGCTCACACATGGTGGAGGTGTAAGAGTCAACCTCCAAAGGATTTCCAAGTTTTCTACCAATAAGACTTAGTCCATCTTTATTAAATAGTTGAAGGGGATGCATAATATATTAACCCAAACGGGAACCCGGTCATGCGTTGGTTTTTCAATAAAAACGTCCGGATCCCATTTGCGGAGAAGTTTTGGAATACCTTTGATCTTCCAAATACCCTTTTGAAGTACATAGTTCATACCCACATCATTGTCGAAATTAAAAAAGAACACATCATCGTCATTAATAAAGACGTCGCAAAGCCCATGTTCCTTCCATAATTCTAGAAATCGATCCTTTACAAAAGGAAAAGCTAGTCTATCTCCCAGAAAATAACCGTATAAAGTTCGTTCGAAAGGAATGTTTCCCTTTTCCATGATTGCTGACGGAATAAGGATAAGGTCGTCTTCTAAGGATTCAAGATTATGGATGAAATCAAGAGATAAAGGTTTAGAAAATTGAACATCATCTCTATTTAATTTTCCAGCGGAAGCGAGCATATCAAATGAAAAAGAAGTATGATCATTAATTGATTGAGAAATGGGCCGTGGATCTGCATGAATAAAATCTGAGGCAGGGGAATCAATAGGTGCTGGGCCTGTGCTTAATGGGCTTCCATTTTCGATATCTGCATAACTCAAATTAGGGAGGAGATGAGTACCACGTGGGCTGATAGGCTCAAAATGAAGAGGATTTGGGCTAGAGACATTATGGATCGGGTGAATAAAAGGAGGAGGAGGGAACACGCGCTGGAGATGAGAGTTAGGGGAGTGAGTAGAAGCATTTAAAGCTTAGACCCCACCAATTCCAGCCTCATAAATGCGCATGGGGGGATTAGAAGAGGCAGTCGGCGATTTTCTCAATTCCAAGCCATTTTTTGGGGAAGACTCCAAGCAAGAGTAAGAAGCCGAGGGCCCCACAAGAGGAGAGCAATTAATGTCAATCTGGGGAACATCATTATCATCTGGCGTTGCAGCCTTTTCCTTATCCAAATTCGATGAACCCAAAGTATTGACACCAAACCCTAGAGGACATTGACTTTCCTCAAATGTTTGATTCTTTTCAGAGCCAAAAACCGTACAAGGGTCGAAGTCAGACGATTTTTGGAGAGGAGCAGCCGCTTTTTTTGGGGTTTTGACGAGACTAACATAGAAGAGATGCCAGAGAAAATACCGGAAGGTGCATTGGTAATGACCGGAGGTTGTAAATCAGCGACACAGGTAACGTCCGACGAGGCAGCCACTGACGACGAACCATCAATAATCTTATGCTCATAATCTTAGGGTTTAGGGTTTAGGGTTTATTTTTGGAAAAAGGGGAAAACCCTTGGCAAATATTATTAATAAAAGAAATTACAAAGAAAGAGGGAAAAAGCCAAAGAAAAATAAAGACAAGCCAGACCTAGGGGACATTACCCAAAGCAAAGACAAACTAAAAAAACAAAAGAAAAGAACTAACTAAACAAAGTCCTAAAAAACGTCAACCCTGATCAACTGGAATAGAGGTGAGACCACCAGGATAGGAGCTGGTTTGAGCATCTGAAGCTGGGATGGAGTCTCTGGAGAGGATGACAGGGGTGATGGGTTTTGAGCATTCTAACACTCCTATGGTGTACATGCAACCCTAGAAACCTTGGATCTATATTTTCTCTAATATACATGCAAATATGATTTTTCCAAGGTTCTCATCCTAACTAGCATACCATGGGGTACTTGTAATATAAAAATTAGTATAATGACATCCCTTTGCTGTTGCTTGGATTCCTTAAGACCTTGTGAGCATAGCACCCCAAATATGATGCCTTAAATGCTTCACACAACACCACAACTCTTGGAATAACTTGAGAGAAGTACACTTGAGCACAAAAATCGGCTAGCCCTCACTCTTTTGTCTTATATGCCGATTTTGCTCCATATGAGGTTCTTTATATAGTGTGTCACATGTAGGGTTACACCATGTAAACCCTAATGTGCATGGATTTTCATTTCCCCCATGATCCATAGGTTTTAACCTCCATGGAGCATCCATGGAGCACCCAACGGGTGCTAGCCTACTATATAAGAACGAAATATTTACATAATCAATCCTCATATATTTAATTAGTCTCTTTCGATCACAAAATTAATTCCAAATTAATTCTTGATCAATACTAATTAAATAATATGAATTCATATTAATATATTAGAATATATTAACAAATCATAAGTGTCCTTATTCTTATTTTGTCTATCTAATTGTTGAGATGCCATGCAACCCAAATGGACCATGCCAATCTGGGTCAAGTGCATACCAAATATAGTTATGGACTTAGACACCTTATATCACAGTCTCCCACTTGGATAAGTCTAATAACTATAGTTATAGGTATGACTTAAGGATCCGACCAGTAATCGTAGCTCTTTCAAAGTATCGCGGAACTAAGATGATGATAGGCCATTTAAGATAACTGATCATATAATCCTCTGTTCTAGAAATCAGCCGGACAAATACATGGAACAATGTCGTACAAATTGTCCAGCAGTTTGTTTCCCGATTTCCGATTTGTTTAACATAGAACTAAACTGAACACATCAATTTGGTTCTGACCGGGCCCAGCACATAGGTCAAAACAAAATCATCGTGGAGCCCAGATATCGCTTTTAATCCTCCAAGGATGAAAAGGAACAGATAAACTTCAACTCATATGCTTGTACTAACTACTTGTTGAATCATACACAAAAGCACGTTTTATAACATCAACCAACTCATAATCAACAACTCATATCTCTAGGTTTGAAGACTTATATGATATTACCGTCTCACGATTACTCGAGATAAAGTCCATGAACTGATACAAGTGAGCATGGGTTTAATCCAATACTCGGAACTTATGAGCACTCATGAATGTTGTAGCAACTTTTGCTATGTTTAACACCTTAGACATCTACAAACCCAATTCATGACAGTCTTGATTCATACCTACTTCCAACATATGACTGACTGCAAAGAGTTTGAATAAAGTAATTATTTTGGAAGTCAAAACATGCAATATTGAAACAATAAACAATTGACACAAGATAGCAACACTTTACTTATAAATAAACAACAACTTTTATTTAATCATCAAATGTCAATTACATTTTACAAGTTTCAAAAGTAGCTATCTAATCTGTAAAACTAATATCATCCTTCAGCCCGATGCGCCTCGCATGTTGCAAATGCTTAACCCTACACAGTCCCTTCGTGAGGGGATCTGCTTGGTTCTCATCCGATGATATCCTCTTTACCATGAGGAGTCCTTCTTCCATCCGATGTCTAATGAAGTGGTATTTTCTGTCGATGTGCATGGATCTGCCATGATCCCTTGGTTCCTTAGCTAAGGCAACTACACTCTCATTATCACCGAAAATCTCCATAGGCTCCTTAACAACTGGTACAACTCAAAGGTCTCCAATGAAGTTCTTTAGCCATATTGCCTCCTTTTCCGCCTCGCTTGCTGCTATGTACTATGATTCGCAAGTTGAATCAACTACTGTTTCCTGTTTGGAACTTTTCCATTTAATTGCTCCTCCATTTAGGGTAAAGACCCAGCCCGAATGAGAGCGGAAATTATCCCGATCAGTCTGGAAGCTTGCATCACTATACCCCACTACTCTCAAGTCATCACTCCTACCAAGGGTAAGGACCCAGTCTCTACTCCGCCATAGGTACTTGAGAATATTTATCACCGCAGTCTAGTGAGCCTTGCCCAGATTCCCTTGATATCTGTTGACCATGCTCAAAGAAAAGGCCACATCAGGGCGAGTACAAGTCATATCATACATGATCGATCCTACAGCGGAAGCATACGACACTCGACTCATCTCAGCTATCTTAGCCTCTGTACTCGGGATCTGAGTCTTACTCGGTTTGGCGTTACTCAAGATTGGTAGGTCACCTTTCTTGGAATCCTGCATGCTGAACCTTTTTAGCACCTTATCCAAGTAGGTACTTTGACTAAGTCCAATTAGCCTCTTACTCCTGTCTCTCAATATCCTTATCCCTAAGATATAGGCAGCTTCTCTAAGGTCCTTCATAGCGAACACTTCCCAAGCCAGGGTTTAACCTTCTGCAAGGTTGGGATGTCATTTCCTATGAGTAGTATGTCATCCACATACAATACCAAAAAACTAACTATACTCCCACTAGCCTTAACATATACATAGGACTCATTCTCGCTCCTCGAAAAACCAAACTCTTTGACTTTTTCATCAAAACAAAGATTCTAGCTACGAGATGCTTGTTTCAACCCATAAATGGATTTCTCAAGCTTTCACACTCTATCAGGGTACTCTGCACTAACAAAACACTCTGGCCGACTCATGTAAACATCCTCAGCCAACTTTCCATTAAGGAAAGCAGTTTTGACATCCATTTGCCATATTTCATAATCATGAAATGCAGCAATGGCTAGCATAACCCTAATAGACTTAATCTTTGCTACTGGTGAGAAGGTTTCATCATAATCAACTCCCTGAGTTTGAGTGAAGCCCTTCGCAACCAGTCGCACCTTATAAGTGTGCACTTCCCATCCATGTCGTTCTTCTTCTTGAAGATCCATTTGTACCCGACCGTCTTACGACCCGGTATATTGTCAACCAAGTTCCAAACTTGATTGTCATACATGTACTGAATCTCGTTGTCCATAGCCTCTTTCCATTTAGCATACTCGGGGCCTTCCATGGCTTCCCTATAGCTGTTAGGTTCATCTAAAGTTACCAGTTTCCTATCACTGATAAATGTATCACCTTCCGCAGTAATATGGAAACCATAGTAATGCTCAGGTGCATTCCTAACTCTAGTGGAACGCCTCAGAGGTACAGACTCGTCAGTTGGTTCAACAGGAGTTTCCTCCTCAGGTTGATTGTTAGGGTTTGAGGTTCCTTCACCACTTGACTCTTGAAGCTTTTCAAGGTCAATTTGCCTCCCACTGTTTCCTTGGCTTATAATTTCTCTCTCGCGAAAGATCCCTCTCCTTGCCACAAAGACCACATTCTCACTGGGTCTGTAGAAGAGGTAACCAAAAGAATTCTGGGGGTATCTGATGAAAATACACCGCTCGCTATGAGGTTCGAGCTTGTCCTGAGTCTCACGTCTCACGAAAGCCTCGCAACCCCAGATCTTGATGTGGTCTAAATTGGGAACTTTCCCAGTCCACATCTCGTGAGGTGTTTTGGCAACCTTCTTGGTAGGGACTAGATTAAGGATATGGGCTGCAGTCTCTAAGGTATACCTCCAGAATAAGATTGGTAACGAAGCTCGACTCATCATGGAATGAACCATGTCTAACAAGGTTCGATTGTGCCTCTCAGCCACACCATTAAATAATTCCACATTCCTTAAGATAGTCAAGGAACTATGTACTAAGATACTCTCCTTCTCAATCAGATCGGAGCATCTTAATGTTCCTGTCCAACTGATTCTCCACTTCCTGTTTAAACTCTTTGAAATTTTCAAAGGTTTCTGACTTATGCTTGATTAA